ATTGATGAGAGGGCGGAAGAGTTCATTCAGAGGTTTTATGAGGAAATGAGGTTACAGGGCCAGCAATCACTGATGAAGTAGGCTAGTTGGGTGCAATGGGGTGTATTCTTGGTTCAATATGAAGTAGTATGTGATTATAAATTTGTTGTTTTTATTTTCATTATTTACTTTCTGTTTTTGTTATACTAGACGAAGTATGAATAATGATTTAATTAAATATATGTTTTTTGATGCCATGATGGTACATATTGTCTAACTTTATCGAATAAAAAAGACGATAAAGTTATGTGTTGTTACTTTTATTAATTACGATAGTATATACTATGTACATAGTAGTAGTTGTTAAAAGAAATTGAGAAATTGGACAATTAAAAAATTCATGTAAAACTAAAATAAACGACGACAAGGTATAACCTACGAGCACGGATACTTCCCTAGGGTAGCGTATCGGCGTATCGGATACGTTCCCATATCCGATACTCTAGGATACCCGTACCGTACGTTCCCGGGCCGTATCTGCAATTTTTAAAAGTTTTCATTTTTTTTGTAATTTTTTGAAAGTTTCCGATACTCGTATCCTGACGGATACCCGTATCAACCTTTTTTTTAAAATCCCAAAATTTACTTAATAAAATTCTAAAAAAAAATGAAAATCTAAAACTACATTTTACTTGATAATCAAATAATGGGCCTATATGACTATATCCGAATTAAGTCATTAACTCATACTCCGAAGTGGGTACTTGCACTTTTAATTTCAAGATTGCAGTTGTTTGACTTATTTCTCATTTTAAATTAATGGGTTATTGACTACATTTATATTTCGAGATACACTAGTGTATATGAGAAATATTATGAATTTATTACTAAGTATCTTGAAAAAGGAAAATGCTTCAATGCAATGCATGGGTAGACATCATAGGATATTATATGTGTGTGTGTATATATATATATTCAAAAAAATCTATTTTTAATATTTATAAATAGACCCCTATAACTTTTAATATTTGTAAATACGCCCCCATAACTTCTAATATTTATAAATATGGCCCCGTATCCGTATCCTACTTTTTTTGGTTTTGACGTATCCCCGTACCCATTTCCGTGTTTCTGCATTTCCGCGTACCGGTATCGGTGCTACATAGGGTATAACCAATAACTCTGCGTTACTATGAGATAACTTGATAGTAAAATTATTAGTGGGTCTCATTAAACTTTTCTTTGATGTATTTTCTCGCATATATATATAGTATACATTTGTTTGATAGCATATATATAGTAAAAAAATAGTATATAATTGTTCTGTTAAACGCTAACATCCTAGGTTGTACAAATCGATGACCGACAATTCGCAAGCAGATGCAATAATTAGCGGTCTGCAGCAATGAATAATGACTTCGTATTTTAAAGATTGCTACATATGACTTTGGCAAATTATTTAAGGAAGAAAGTAGTAGGGGTAATAAATAGTGTAAAAAAGTAAACGAAAATGTCTTAAAGTATGAAAGAGAAGATAAAAAATATAAAAAGTAATGGTAATTTGAGTATTTTTAAGAAAAACATTAAAAAGGAAAATGTAGCAAAACTTTTAAACACATTCTAAAAGTGAAAATGTGGCAAACTTTAAAATATGAAAGAGTGTATAAATAAAGTATAACAAAAAAGTTTCGTGAGACACACTAATAATTGTACTATCAAGTTAATTCGTTGTTATATAGAGTTATTATTATACGTTATCGTTTATTTTAATTTTACTTTTTATTTTTTATACGGTCCAAATTTGCATTTTCATACAGCTATTTCTACGTCTATATTTAATAGAAGTTATAACACATAAACTCTAGTCTTTTTTATTTGGCAAATTTAAATATTACATATTGTAACTATTTTGACAATTATAGTGTAACTATTTGGCAAAGTTACACATTACAACACATGTGAATGCCTAGTATTGGAACTATTTTGGCAATAATGAGTCGAAAATGACAGTAAATATTGTCATGTTACTCATATTTCGAAAAAAACATAGTAGTCATATTTTGGCATTCCAAAACGTGTTTACTACTATTTTGAGAACTTTCTCCTAAATTATACTCCATCCGTCTCACCGAACTTTGTCAACTTTTTTTTTTTGCTTGTTCCAAAAACTTTACAACTTTTGTTTTAAAAGAATGAATTTGTAGTTCAACTTGTTTCTCTCTCTTATGCACGACCTCAACCTCACAACTTTTATTCTTCTTATTTCTCACTTATTTCGAAGTTGGCAAAGTCCACCGAAACATAGGTAATAATGTAATATACTCTCTCCATTCCATATAATTTTTCCCACTTATGTTTTTGGGATGTACCATGAAGTTCTTCTTAATTTTCTTTTAGAAGTTTTGTGAGACTAACATTCATTTACGTTTTTCTTACCTAATCACAACCATACATTTCCACTTTATTATCACAATGATAAATTGGGAAGAATTTTATGGGACGGAAGGAGTAATTTTTAATGGATGCATATAATGTGGATATGTGGCTTGAGAGAGATAGACACAAAAGAATACATTTATGCCATTTCTCTTTCATTCTTTCCACGATGGTATTAATTTCTAGTAAGTTTGTTTCAAAAATATCAACTACTATACAATGTCTACATCTAGACATTGTGTTTGACTATTAAGTAAAGAAAAACTTACCAAAAACGTGTGTGACTAATCAAATACGGAGAGATATGTCCTACTTAATTTTTAGTTTTTATTTTTATGTGTCCATTTTTCTCATGTCACATGTGTACTGTTCACGTTTTATTATTGAAGATACTCTAAATATCATCTGTATTTGACACAAATTATGCCAAACTAATTACGTAATATGCATAATATTTAATTTATACGGCTCACTTAGGCTTGAATAATGGAATCCATAGATCATATCAATGGTATTTTGATTGCCTTATACATTTGATAAGCAATAGCCTAAAATATTCATATCAATGCTATTTTGAGTGCCTTATAGATATTCATTAAAACAAAAGATGACACTCCATTCCTGAGGACTCCCAACAACGGCCTGACAATCAGATGGGAGGATCAGAGGATGTAAATATTCATGTATGCATGTTGTGATTGTAAAAGAGAATATTTTATTACTTTCATAAAAATGGACCCAAAATAAAAGCAGGGATTATTATAGTAAGGAGCATTATTGTAGAATCACTAAAAGTAAGGATTATTATTATTATTATGAATTTCACCTTTTTAAAACGATAGAATACATATAGGAATTACCAGGTTTTAAACATGACAGTTTTTTTCCAAACTTAGTAGAAATTACCCCTATTTGGAAAATAAAACATGAACATCATATTTTAGAATTTCAAAACGTTTTTACTCATATTCAGAAAAAAATCTATTCTTTTAACTAATAATATATTAAATAACTAATAAATTTCATTTACCTTTATTCTAAGTGTATGGGCGCGCATGAAAAACCATGCATCCAAAATTTCCTTTCATAGGAACTGTTTATAAAAGTAAAATATGATATTACCATTTATTTAAAGATTAGATTTGTGGAGGATTATATTCTCATTAATTACGTTCTTTTATTAGCATACATGTTTTATATTTTTGGGTAAGATCGTAATAAGAAAAAATACCACCGAGCGGAGATGATACAACAATGTCATATTTATGGTTGGTATTTATTTCGAAATTAACGTGAGAATATTGATTCTGTTTTATTATCCTTAAATTTACGTAGTTGTATTTATTACATTTTTGTTCTTTATTTGGGCGGCAATTTTGCCTCCAAAAGCTGTGGCATGACTGTTACTTTATATTATATAAAGATAAAGATACTCGTATTTAGGTATCTACAGATTCTTTAAAGTTTATTACTGTTTGTTCTTCTCGAGTCTGGTTTGGCTATTTATTTCAGGGAAAAAAATCTTGAAATTGAAGTAAGAATGTTTGGAATTCAAAAATAATAATCTCATGTTGTTATTTTTAAGGGGAAAATAATTTAAATACCCCAAACTTTGAAGGGGTGTGAGATAAACATCCCAAACTTTCATGTGTAATTTAAATACCCTAAACTTTTTATAAAAAGTTATTTTAACACCATGTTGATGTATCATTTGTTTCAAAAATTTAAATTTATGATGTTAATTGTATAATTTAAATTAGCAAATTCAAAATGTTGCAATTATATAGAGTGGGGGTAGTAATATTTATTTTACAATGGAAGTTTAGAATGTTAATTGTATCTTCATGAATGCTAAAAATATTTTAAATTATGAAATAACCATGGTACTAAAATACGGAGTAACTTTTAATATAAAGTTTGGGGTATTTTAGTTATTTTTCCCTATTTTTAACAAGGAGTAGTTAATGTTAATTTTGAAAAATATTGATATATATATATATATATATATATATATATATATATATTTAAATTTGATAATGTTTAAACATGATAGTAATTACTAATTACTCTTTAAGAAAAAAATATGATTTTCTTATTTTGATATTCAAACACCTTTTAACTCATATTTAGAACAATTTGTTTTTAATTATTAGATGAATATTAGTTAATGTGATTAAATTTACTATTATAATAATCGCTACGTTTAAAAACTCACATTTTTATAAATATTGTTTATTTTAATCATAACTTTGTAACTATTTCAGTATTTCTAATAAAAATAATTATACTTGCGTTTTTGTCATCCTAGGCGGCTGGGCCTTGTTCATGATAGGAGACCTGGCGTGCAAATCCCTAGAATTACACTCCGTAGGAAAGGGTTGTTTTTGTGTGTTCGCTGATCTCCTAATTAGTTTCCCACACCGAGCATGAAAAAGAATTTTGTAGCTTATTGGTTTCCCACACCGAGCATGAAAAAGAATTTTGTAGCCTATTCGTTTCCCACACCGAGCATGAAAAAGAATTTTGTAGCCTATTGTTTTTATAAAAAAAGACTTCTCCCTTTTAATCATCCATATTAGTGATTTGTACGCTTAGTGTCTTCCAAAGAGGCGAAAGGCCAGTCTGAATTGTAAGGGTCTGTTTGTAACAGTTTTTGCTTTTAAAAAAGTGTTTTTTTAATGAAATGGGGAGAAGTGATTAACTAAAAGTTGATAGTGTTTGAGAAAAAAGTGATTTTGAAAAGTAAAAGTTGATAGTGTTTGGTAAAATAAGTGCTTTTTATGTAATAGAAAAAGTAAAAGCACTTTTGACACGAAAGTCGAGAAAAATAAAAGTTGTAATGTTTGGTAAAAGAAGTGCTTTTTTAAAGTCAAAAGCTGAGAAGTGTTTTTTTTAAAGTGGTTGCAAACCAACCCTAAGACTGGTTTATTTGGCTGCATTTTAAATGACTTCATACAACTATACTAAGTAAAAATATTTTTTTGGGCCTTGATTTTGTTTTGGGCTCTGTGCGGTTGGACTGCCAGTACATGCTCTGGGCCGGCTCTGTAGCCCAACTCTTACTCCTGACTACGCCCCTCAGTCTAACGGTGGTTGATAGGTCCGTATTTAGACACACAATTCTCAAGTTTAGCTCAGGTTATGTTTACCGTTGGTTCGAGTTTTGTGTCGTTTGGAGTGAAAATCAGGAATGTAGAGTCCGACATCGGTGCTTGAGAAGCAATCAAGAAGAGTTGGTGAGCATTCGAGAGAGATTTGAGAGTTTAGGAGGCCACAGGGAGGTTCACAACGAAGATTTGATGAAGAAAAGGCATTTGGTTATATCAAGGAAGCATCCAGGAGAATTTGGAGCGAGAAACGATGAATTATGATAAAGAAAAGGCTAGGCACGGCTGTGCCTGAGCACAGCCGTGCCCAGCCTTAGGCACGGTGGTGCCTATAGAAGAAGAGTGTTCTAAATTTCTGGAAAGGCAGGCACGCCGTGCCTGGCCTTAGATACATTCGTGACTGCAGTGTAACGACGTATCCATATATTCCGTGGGAAGCTAGGCACGGTCGTGCCTAGCAGGGAGGCACGTCGTGCCGGGATGCGAATCTCGGCCTTGCTCCGCAGGCACGTCGTGCCTGACCCCGTTTTTCCCAGTTTTGGTCAAATTTTACCTGTTTTCTATAAATAAGGCCACCATTCTCCTGTTTAAGGGTTACGAACATTATAGAGAGGTCCAGGGACGAATTTATCTGCGTTTTTCCGCTTTGTTCTTCAAGACACTGGGATTATTTGTAAGTTCAATCTTTTTAATTAATGACAATTAATTCTATTCATCCCAATTCTGTTGATTCTTCAATTATGAGTTGTGAGTAGTTTAATTAGGGATTTGGGATTGATGAAGGGGTTGATCATGATGTATGGCTAGTTTCTTGATGGTTTAATTGCATGAATGTCGTTTAATTAGTGTTTAATTTGAGTAATTTAACTGATATCTCTTGTAACCTAGAATGACTGCTAGAATTACAATTGCTTTTAAAATAAGGAAAAGTTGAAAATAATAATCCCAACAATTGCTGGTCCGCTGAAAATAATCCCAACTATTAATTATTTTTGTATAATCCCAACTATTTAGACTATCCGCCAATAATGGTCCATGACCATATATTACCTCTTTAAGAAGTGAATTTTAAATAGAAATTAAGCGTAAAAATTAAAAGTTGAGATTATTTATAGGGATTACTTGTTATATCTCATCTCATCCACTTTAGAAACTACAAGAATTTATTCATATGGACTATTATTGGCGGAAGGTCCCTAAAGTTGGGATTATTCTGTAATAATCAATAGTTGAGATTATTATGAGCGGACCGCCAATAGTTGGGATTATTACTATCAATTTTTCCTTAAAATAAATTAAGAGAAATCTAATTTGTTCTCAGACACCTTCACACACACTTAATCACTCGCTAAGAGATTAGTAGTGATGAAGGGACCGTAAGCTCGCTCGTCTTGGCAATAATTTAGGAACCTGTCGCATGAGAGATCAACCTGGTCCCCTAAATTATTGTACTCTACGCCGCGAGAGCGGTAAGAACTTAGTAATGATTAGCTAGGCTCAATTAAATTAATATCATGTAATTAAGCATGATCTGCCAGAAATCTGGTTACCCCAGAATTAATCCATGTTCCCTTCGTCGTTAATTAGAGAGAAACCAATTTATTTTAATCGTTTAGTTGCAATTTAATTTTCCAAACCAACCAATCTCGCACCATTACATTTTATTTTATTTTTAGATTTTTCGCTGAATTTAGTTAATTCTTATTTCCCTTTTGGCTGCCCCTGTGGAGACGATACTCGTATTTCAACCACTATTCTACAATTTTTTTAAGTGCGAGAAAACTCACATCAGCGGGAGACCTTATATTTTTTCACACCAGAGGTTTATCCCATAAGAAAGAGTTGTGACCTTCCCAAACCGCGCTGTTAAACAGCGAAGTTAAACAACGCAGTACATTTCGGAAAATCAATTGAATCTCTTCCCGGTTGAATTTTTATCTAAAATTTGGTATGGATAAACTAGACTTAATGAAGAAGATGCTCAAAAAATTTCATCAAAAAATTCCACCGGGAACCGCCCCAATTAGCGACGGCCGGGCAAAACCTCCTTTATAGTAGGTCAATTCAAGGACCCTTTAGCCTAATTGCAAAGTAGGAGAATCTCAATTAAATGAAAAGATAAAAGTTACTCATTCTCAAATAATTTCAGCTCTCACTATTATTAGATTCATTTCACGATACAAGTAGTAGGTTAAATGAAAGTAAAAAGTGATGGATAATGCCTTGCACCACCTTATTAATGAGTTGACTTATTTGATTTGATAGAACATGCGAAAAATTAATGAAACATTAGACTTGATAAAGAAGTGAAGGTCAAAGATCAAAACTAACCAATTTAATAGAGCAGGACTAAATTGGGCATTAACTCCTGTAAAAATGTAAATATGGATGCGAATCTCCAAAAGAAAACATAATGTCTCATGAGGCATTAAAGAGAGGCATAAGAAATGGATCTTAGCATCTATATCTATATAATATAATAAAGCAAACTTTGGTAGAGTCCTATGGAGAAATTGTTGACATGTGACAACACCCTTTATCTTAAAATTTGACATGTGTCAACACTATAACAAATTTTTACTCCCTATTGATATATAAAATTAATGTATTGAGTGCATAACAACAAAACATATATAAACACACGTACATGGCATCCAATATGCATGTGTGCAATGTTTATAAGAATTTAAAAGGTTAAAATAAAATCTATTCAACTTCCCAAACTCCATGTACAAGAAAAACCTATTCAACTTCTAATCATTCATAACTACATAGTACGTAGCCACTATCATTATTTTATTACCTTTAAATTGCACACAATTATATGTGTAAAGTTGGGCGAAGAATAATTAATTTCATAGCCGTAGTATAATTTAAAAACATATATAGAACTATGAGTTTCACACTTAGTAATTATTAGTCTATGATTCAATAATAAAAACTATATATAATTTCAAAACGGTAAATCTATTACTCTTTTTAGTACTACATGCTAAGAATGTTTTAATTTGTACTAATATTTTCCAAACTGCTCCGGTCTTTGTAATTTAGGTTTGGCCTGTTTAAATATGATCTTCTCAAGTATGTTTATGTTTGATTTCATTTTTTTTTTAATTTTGGTCGATCAAGACGGGATTAAAACAACTTTAAGTGAAAATATCTTACTTGAAAAATACTGACATGATTGAAAATTTTTGCCGCTAAAAAAAGTAAATATTGATGTGTTTAATGTGTAGAAATGCAACTATTTGGTAGTAATGGTTACAAGATGACAGTAAATACTACCATGTAACTCAAGTTAGAGCGCGAAATCAAGAATACATACTTCGTAAAAAAGTCAATGCGCTTTTGCCACATTTAGTCCTCGAACTATTATATCACCGACACTTTTGGTACTCGACCACGATTTTTTCCACTCTTAGTCCTTCGGCTATTGTGCAAACGACACTTTTGGTACCCGTCTTTGAAAATTTTCATATTGAGTCATTCAACTCTCATAAAAGTGAAACTTTTGGTCTTTCAACTATTATAATAGTGACCGTTCAAAGAAATTCAGCATTAGGAATTTCTTCGATTGTCGTCGGTGAGTTATCCGTCTCTCTCTAGGGTTGTCGCAAGGTAATCGCTAGCTTCGATTCGTCCGCTATCGGCCATTGCGGAGGAGCGGGGCTGGTTTTTCCGGCCAATTGTTCGAATTGGAGAGTCTTCTCTCTAGCGGTCACCTCCCTACGAGTTGGGGTTTCGTTTCTTCCGCTTTCGTCATCGACGAAGAGCGTCCGTTAGTCGATTTCGGTCATGCAAGCAGGCTCGGGATCAGGTATGCAGCGCTTTGGCAGCCAGGGCTCGACTTCTGCTGTTGTTTCTGATCGAAGGTCGAGTGTTGACAAAGAAAAGGTGGATAAGCTGTGGCGGAGTATGGTTTCGATTCAGCAGCAAGGGATATCAAAGGATGATATCGTCAACCAATAAAAAAGTATGACTATTGAGGCGGATGAGCGGCGGATGCGTCCCCCTCCTGAGCCGCCGCCATGGAGTGCAAGCAAGTCTATGGTTTGGAAGAAGATTGGTGAACGTTGTTTTAATTCCGTTTTATTTTGTTTGTGTTTTTCTTTTGAATTGCATGTTGGTTTGGACGTGTTTTTATTTCCAACCAGAGAGATTCTAGAACTTAGGTCAGGTGATAAGAAGTCTGATTTGTCAGTCATTGGCTCAGTTAATCCCATTGCAGATTTACAGGATCGGCGAATATTATTGCTTCTACAGATGTGATATATTCTAAGTCTGATTCGATGGCGGACGGCAGAAATAAAGGCTTTTTATCGCTTTGTTTACTTCTTTTTCTTTGATTGTATTATCAGCCATGTGACGAACGTTATTTTGATTTATTATATTTGTTGGATTTGATGATTAAAAAAAACTATTATAATAGTGACATTTTTAGCCATCTACTTATTGTGACAAAATCATTATTGAAGGATTAAAAGTGTCAATTTCATAATACTTAGAAGACTAAATGTGGGGAATTTTGAAGTCGGGGGTAAAAGTGTCCCTCGCATAATAGTCGAAAAACCAAAATGCAAAAATTGAAAGTCGTGCGCCAAAAGTGTCACTGAAACAATAGTCAGGGTACTGAAAGCTGCAAAAACTCAAAAGGCAACTAATAAACTTGATGAAGTAAAAACAGGGTTACAAAACGCAATCGAAATATATTGACTATTTTTGGCTTCTTAAAGTAAACACACATTGCTCTTTAATTCATATCCCAAACTTGAATACAAAATACAAACTCATTAACCATGTTTTCTATTAAACTAATTTCACATTTTCACTCTTAAATCATATCAAACCATATTACTCTGTATATAAAACCAAATCAACTTAAACAAATCAGACCATATCACTCATAATTAAAAAAATAAGTGGAGAATACCATAAAACTTGAATTTAACTGCAAATATTCCTACTCAATTTGTATTGGATGTTGTAGCAGTTTTCTATTTTTTCGGATTCGGATGACTATACACCTCTATTTCATTATTTTTCTACCACTTCTTTTCCATCTGTCTCAGTATGTCTATCACATAAGGAATATATGTTATAAATAATTATTCTTTTATTATTACTATACCAATTTAACATCAATCGCAAAAATTCAATTTCCTTGATCAAATCATCACATTCTTAATAAATTCAGTATAACACATTGGGTGTTCAGTTCGTATACAATTTCATACCCTTACTATATTATTCTTTTTATATATTTTTATTTTATATTTTTTTCATAACAAAACTTCAACACATATATTACCGTGCGATGCACGGGTACACACGCTAGTATAAAAATAATGAAGGTCAAGGTTTACCTTTCACATTTTCAAATATGTGGCTGAATGATCTACATTTCGATCAAGAGAATCATCACATAAAAGAGAAAAAATTGAATGGATGTGCATAGCAACAGTAAAAATCAAGCTAAATGGGTAAATTAAATGTAAAATAGAAGGTATTTGGATTATAAAGGTAGACCTTTGATTCTTTTCTAATACTCGTACTACATATATAATTGTGAGGAATGATGGAAATTGTGTTTTTCCTTGTTGTGACAAAGTTTGAGAGGCGATGGTAGGGGTGTTGTGTGTGTATTTCAGCTCAGGTCTCCAACCAAAACAACTCACACACACCATCCCAGGATGTTTAGCCACTCCACCACTCACC